TATGTTTATGGTTTGTTAAAACCTTTTTTTTTTTTTTTTTTTTTTTTTCCTTCAGCCATGCCATGTAGCATTTGGGATCCTAGTTCCCCGACCAGGGATCGAACCTGTGCCCCCTGCAGTGGAAGAGTGGAGTCCTAACCACTAGACCTCCAGGGAATTCCCTTAGAACCTTTCTTTTAATATTCTTTATCAGTATATCCAAAGCTATCTTCCCAAAATGTTAAAAGGATTCTTTAAGAATAGGGACTCCTACTCCATATAATTTGGGTAGACTCAACACTTTCAGAAAAGTTGAAGTATTTAAATTTTCCTGGTCCAAAAGTAGACTCTTGACAGTTTGAAAATTGCTCATCATTTATGAAAGTGTTTCTTTTTGGTCGATCAGTTGTTTCTGCTGTTAGTGCACACTGACTGGCTGCATCGGTTCTCTTGCTGCTCAGGCCTGCGACACTCCTCTGCACCCACTGGGCAGGCTCGTGGAGACACTGGTTGCAGTGTATAGAATGACATATGTGGGTGTGGGAGCCAACCGCCGGCTGCTACAGGAGGCTGTGAAGGAGATTACGTCCTACCTGAAGCGAATTTTCCAGCTGGTGAGGTGAGAGATCTTTTCACTGAAGTCATCAAGAAAATGGTTTTATGCCACAGATCCTTCAATAGATTAAATAATGAAAACATGTTTTTACTTTGTGTTTATGCTATAACTATAAAAAAGATGGACGTTAGCCATTGTAACTTACTTCCTTTTTGTCTTTCTTACTCATTGGGTATGACAGAAGGCTAAAATAAAATTTTTTAATAACAATTTTGGTATGAAATATAGTAGTCTTATTTGGATTTAATCTCTAGGCAAAACCATGTCTCTAAAACCTAACCACAGAGAGGATAAAATCTAATACAGAGTTTTAGCCCTGAGTATTTATGTCCTATTCCTTGACAACAGCCTGTTTGTTCACTTATTCAACAAATGTTTGAGTGCATCTACGTGTTAGCCACCATTCTGGCCCTTGGAGGAATTTATCAGTAAACCAACCCCCCAAAAGAAAGAGAGAGATTGAAAATCTGTACTCTCATGGGGCTTCCGTTCTACTGGGGACAGAGTAAACAGAATATGTAATATGTGAGATGATGATTCATGTGATGGAGGGGAAGAGAATGGAGATGGAGGTGAGATGCTGCTATTTTAAACGGAAGGTCAAGGAGACATGACTAATAAGGTAATATCTGAGCAGAGACTTTGAAGAAGGTGAGAAAGCAAGCAAGCATCTTTTTGAAGGAGAGGTTCAGGCAGCAAGCAAGTTTGGAACTTATGAAATTCAAGATATTTTACTGGGTTTAAGCCAACAAGTAAATACTGTATTGAGATAGTTATACAAAAGTTTATGCATTTGTCCCAGAAAAACCTCCTTATATTATTTAGCCTCAGAACTGATACATGCATTTGGAAATGTTTCAGTTTGGAGGGGGCAGTGTTATCTACTAAAAAGATCGCTGGGCTAGGATTGTTTCAGCTCTGACATTAGCTAGATGGGTGAAATGAAGATAAGTTCCCTGAACTTTTTAGTTTTCTCCACTATAAAATCGGGGCAGGGGCATGGTATAAGTCTACAAAAATACAGAAGATTGCAAACTGCCTGTAAAGAGTTAAGGTTTAAGTCTGTAAAAATAAAGAGAACAATAAACTTGTTTATGGTTAGAATCCACCATTTGCATACAAGAGGTGGGAAATAAAATCCAGAGAGAATTCAATGCCTAGGGAAAAATCCTCAACAATTTAGCATCTCAATCATTTGGAAAAGTTTTTCAACAGCTTGGCTTTTTAAAAAAAATTTTAAATTTTTGCATGAATTGAGTTTTCATTTTTTCTTAATGTTGGACATTTAATTGTTTATATTCTGAAAGCAATGATCTCTGCTTGAAGAGTCAATACACATTGACCTCAGATGAGATTTGCCAGTAAGAAAAACATATATAATATAGATCAGAATTGTTCGTTCTTTAGTAACTAGACAGATTTTTTTATTGGTGTTATTCATTAGCTACATTCTTTTTTTTTTTTTTTGCGGTACGCGGGCCTCTCACTGTTGTGGCCTCTCCCGTTACGGAGCACAGGCTCCGGACGCGCAGGCTCAGTGGCCATGGCTCACAGGCCTAGGTGCTCCATGGCATGTGGGATGTTCCGGGACCGGTGCACGAACCCGTATACCTTGCATCAGCAGGCGGACTCTCAGCCACTGCGCCACCAGGGAAGCCCCATTAGCTACGTTCTTAATTTTATCCTGTAAGAAGCATCAGTTAAGACTCTAAGGAAACTGACTTATTTGGTTGATAGAAAGTTTGGTTTTATTGGTCCTTAAAAGATTAAATAATGGAAATGTGTTTTTACTCTTTTTATCCACTCTAGAGGTGTAACTGTGTAATGATATTCTTTATTCTTCCTTAGGTTCTTATTTCCTGAGCTTCCTGAAGAGGGCAGTACAATTCCTCTCTCTGCTCCTCTGCCAACTGAAAGAAAATCCTTTTGCACTGGGAAGTCAGATTCCAGATCTGAATCACCAGAGCCAGGGTGAGTGGAGCTGGGTGGAGATGGTGAGAAAGGGGGTGGGGACCAAGTGATCTTATGCAAAGAATCCCAGGAAAAGTTGTTTTCTCTGGATCTGTTTCCTTCTTTTTAAAATGATACGGTTGGGGGCTTCCCTGGTGGCACAGTGGTTAAGAATCCGCCTGCCAATGCAGGGGACACAGGTTCGAGCCCTGGTCTGGGAAGATCCCACATGCCGCAAAGCAATTAAGTCCGTGCACCACAACTACTGAGCCTGTGCTCTAGAGCCCGCGAGCCACAACTACTGAAGCCCGCACACCTAGAGCCTGTGCTCCACAACAAGAGAAGCCACCGCAATGAGAAGCCTGTGCACCGCAACAAAGGGTAGCCCCCGCTCACTGCAACTAGAGAAAGCCCGCGTGCAGCAACGAAGACCCAATGCGGCCAAAAATAAATAAATTTATTTAAAATATAAAAAAAATATTAAAAAATAAATAAGATGACATGGCTGGACTTTGTGATCTCCGAGGTTCCTTTTAAGTCTCAAGTTCTGTTAGCCAAACCCCATGAAACTGTAACTACAAATGACTGGGCACAAAGGCTGCTGAGCAAAGTAAATCATTCTGCCCTAGAACAGAGAAATCAGCCTTAAAATGGAAACAGAGTGGGCTTTCAATTAGATTTTGAGTTTATGATAAGAATTCACAGTTGGCACAAGACAAAACTCTGGGGCCATAGGTAGACTTCTCATGTTAACTCCTTACATAAAAGGAATATAACTGCTTCCTTACTCAAAAATTCCCATCTTTACTTTCAAGTTCTAGAAAATAAAGCTCCATGTTTGGTTCTGTTTTCAATTTTAAGGTTAATGCTCCTCCCTCTCTCTCCAATATTTTGTAGTTACGTGGTAACAGGTTCTGGTTTACTGCTTCCTGTGCTCCTACCTCGGCTTTACCCACCGTTGTTCATGCTTTATGCCCTGGATAATGATCGTGAGGAGGATGTTTACTGGGAATGTGTTCTCCGACTAAATAAGCAGGCAGACATTGCTCTTTTGGGCTTCCTCGGGGTGCAGAGGTCAGTACAGTAATTATGAATGGAACCTAATTGTTTTAACTCAACGTGCAAACAGCATTATCGGGAATTTGGTACTTTGATATCTAATTGTATATATGATTTGCAGTTTATTTACCTATCGCATATCTGTCTTCAGCAAAATAGTGATGTTTTAAAATCTTTATTTCTGGGCTTCCCTGGTGGCGCAGTGCTTGAGAGTCCGCCTGCCGATGCAGGAGACGCAGGTTCGTGCCCCGTTTCGGGAGGATCCCACATGCCGCGGAACGGCTGGGCCCGTGAGCCATGGCCGCTGAGCCTGCGCGTCCGGAGCCTGTGCTCCGCAAATGGGAGAGGCCACAACAGTGAGAGGCCCGCATAACGCAAGAAAAAAAAAAAAAAAAAAAAAAAAAAAAAAAAAAAAAAAAAAATCTTTATTTCTGAGAGTTTTTAGACATGAGTTTGAAATGTGATTATTATTCTGAATATAAGTAAATAATTTGAGTTATCCTGCCTGATATTTTGCAATTCTTCAAAGCAAAGTTAATTGTATTCAGTCTTTGGCATTCTTCTTTCCCTTCTCTTCTCTTCCCTCCCTCCCCATCTACAATTTCTCATGTAAAAGTTTAGAAGTGCCCTTTTTTGTTGTAGGGCATTGTTTCTTGTTAGTCCAAGGAAATACTAAGTGATTGTACTTTCTAGAAGTGTTAGGATACAACCGATCACCCCAACACCCAATAGTTATATATTTGTGCTATCAGAAAAAAATGAATGAGCCTTAATTGGAAAGTAAATTTTTTCAGTGGAATGGTTTAATAGTAAAAATGAAGGAACTGTGGAATAGTTACTTTAAATGGGGACAGGGAAGTCAATCTAGTCATTAACTGTTTTTATGGGGACTAATTTACCATAAGGAGCAACTTGTATTAACAATGTATGGATTTCGTTTTAGGAAATTTTGGCCAGTGACCTTGTCAGTCCTTGGAGAGAGTAAAAAGGTATAGTGGATTTTAGTTTCCTCAGCAAATATGTTTTTATTTGGTGTGGGGGGATTCGAGATAGCAAAACAGTTTCTGTTTTACTTCGGTAATATAATACCCAAGCATGAGTTATTCACTGAAGATCTGCATTCTGCCATTGGTATCATTTATGTTTCTTGTTGCTGCATAAGACAGCTTTCCTCTTTGACCTTTATAAATTCTTTTTTGGCAGGTTTTGCCAACCACAAAAGATGCTTGTTTTGCCTCAGCTGTAGAATGTCTACAGCAGATCAGGTAATCTCTAATTTGTTGAAAATTACATAAATCAAAGGAGCGGTTAGTCTATTAAGATACTGATGAGATCTTATCTTTACCTAAGCTCTAACCCCACCCCGCAACCCTCCAAGATGGTGTCAAACTCAGCCTGAAGATCAGAAAGACTCTGAGACATTTACCTGTTGCTCTGCAAGGCCCTTGCATTTTCGAAAGTGGTGGAGAACCTACCCAGCAATTTATCTACATAATCGTATCTTTAGCCAAATGGAAATTAACCAAACTTCTTACTCAGAGAAGAGCATGTATTAGGAAAATAAGGTTCCACATGGGTAAAAGGAGATGATCTATGACTTAGTGAATTCTTTCATGTAAACCACTGATAGTTGGAGGCTTCTTTCCTCAAAGGACCATAGGATTACAGAGATCATCCCTTCCAGTGACTCCTTTTGCCTGATGTATCCAACTTAAGGCATGTGAGCCCTAAGAGGGTATATTTGTATCAAACAATTAGTATCAAATGGCTCTATTAAGAAAACCATAAGGTATCTTTTCGTCATTTATTTTTATTTTTTAATTTTCTTTTTAACAACAGCACAACATTTACCCCATCAGACAAACTTAAAGTCATCCAGCAGACTTTTGAAGAGATCTCTCAGAGTGTCCTGGCATCACTTCAGGAAGACTTCTTGTGGTCCATGGATGATTTGTTTCCTGTTTTCTTATATGTGGTGCTACGGGCCAGGTGACCAATCTCTTCTGACTTTAATATCAGTGACATTATTTTAACACGTCTGCCCCTTGCTTTTCTGAGCTGATGACAGGAGCATGCTCCCCCACTGGAAAAACAGTCCATTTCTGTTAACACTTTTCACGACGGTGTTCGGTGTTACCTTTTTCTTGAGCTGTTCTTTCTTTTCCTTTCAAATAGATTCAGAAGTAGGATGTACATATAAATGGAAATAACTCAATATCTTTTTCTTGTTGGGCAGGATTAGGAATTTAGGCTCTGAAGTACACCTCATCGAGGATCTCATGGACCCATATCTTCAGCATGGGGAACAGGGTATAATGTTCACCACTTTGAAGGTAAAGTATAGATACTATTTAATATTTTTTTATGTTAAAATCTCTCCTTCATTTACCATATTATGAATCTATCATTAACCTTTCTTTTATATAAAACCTTAATGCAAACATTAAGTGCCTTTAGAGCACATACTGTTAATATTTTAAAATATGATAACGTATTAAAGTAGAATCATTCTCAAAATACAAAAGCCAATTATTCATTAACGAATCTTCCCTGTAAATTGATCATTCAAATTGTTACAAATCCTTATAAATGTAGACCATCTATATAAATGTAACTTTAAAAAGGAAACAAAGAATTCTTAGTGTCCAAAAAAACATTCAACAGTAGAGCTATTTAATGGAATTCAGGTAAAACACAGAAGGCAGTAGGTATGTAATGAATATGAATCGCATCTTCTTTCTTTCCCATTTATTGTAACCAGTAGGTTACAAATGAGATTCTCTGATCTGGGTGCTCTGTAGGGATTGTTGGAAGTCATTTCAGTTCCCCTGCCTTGATTTTTCTTGGAATTTGATACGATCATTGTGAAGTTTATTGGAAGAATAACAAATAGGAAATGGCAAAAACACTTCTGAAAAAAAGAGAGGCAGAACAGACCCACTGTGTCAGTTAATCAAATGTTATGAAATTATAATAATTAAGATAGTATGTTACTGTCACAGGAATAGACAAATACCTTAGTGGAAGGGATAGCTCCCATATAGGCAGTATTATAATAAAAATTTGACATATGAAAATGGAAACATCAAACAAAAATGGGAAAGAGAATTATATAATAAATGGTCAAAGTATTGGAAGAGCTATTAGCAGTTTTGGAGGGAGGGTGGCATCAGGGTGGAATCACTCACGTAGCGAATTACAGATGCCTTAGTAAGGTTTAAATATACAAAAAGGCAGACAGAAGAAAAGACAGGCAAATTAAAATGACAAAAACTAGAATTTAATGTCAGGTTTCTGGCTTGGGCTAATTGTTTAAACTTTTCAACTTAAATATCATTAACATTTATAATAAATAAACTGAAAAGGGAGGGGACAAGTGGGGAAAATATTGGCTACCAATGACTTACATTATTAGTATTTATGTTATATGAAGACCATCTCTAAACAGATCACCAAGGAAGAAATGAATTAATATATTTATATAAAAGAAAAACGCTCAACCTCACTGCAGATTTAAAGAAAGTGCCATTTTGTCCCTGCTAAATTAGCAAAACTGTTATAAAATTATACCCAGGGCTGGTGGGGTTATAGTGAAATCAGAATTAGTCCCACACTGCTGATAAAGAGTAAATCACCCTTTTGGAAAACAGTTGTTATTAACATTTATATCAGCAACATCAAAAATGTTTCTAGAGTTTGAGTAGTCCTACTCCTAGTGATTTATCCCAAGAAATTAAAGAATGGAATACACTGTATATTATTTGGATGAGGTGTTCTTTGTAGTGGAACTCTCAAACCTGGATACTTTCAGAATCACTTGGAGATGCTTCTTAAAAATGCATTCCAGGAAATTCTGACTCCCTAGGTCTGGAATGATGCTTAATCTTAACCTGTATGTTTATCAAACATGCTAGGTGATTCTGATTATAGTTGTTTGTGTATCTTATGTTGATCATCAGCATATTCTACATGTCCAGTCAATAGTGGCTTAACAAATTAAGGTATTTCTACTTAATGAAGAATATTATACAGCTTGTTAAAATTTTTTGGTCTGTTTTAGAATCAGAGGGAATTTTATAAAATTTTATTTCTACTAATTATAACTTGGCAAAATAGACATGGGATAGGGTAGGGGGACTGGAACAAAACAGGGAAAAATGGAAGCAACTGATTTAGTTGAGCTATCAGCATTAATAAAGGATTTCCTTTCTTAGTCCCATGTGCATTGTTACACTTATGTAATTTCTTTTAAAGTAAATTTTAAATGGTTTTGAACTTTTTTTCAGGCATGTTACTACCAGATCCAGCGTGAGAAGCTTAACTAGGCTGCATAACAGCTTGACAACTGGATTATCTATTCAAAGTGTTTTAGCACCATCTGGCATCTTCCTGTAGTGGCAAAAAAGAACAGTGTTGAAATTAGGAGGTTGTATTATTTTGGTTGTTATTTCTGAGCCTTGCTAATGATCGGAGCTCTGAGCCCAGAATAAAAGACTGTATAAAGGGAGGATTGAAAAGGAGGTAGAAATCAGATTAGACCAGTCCCTGGCCTGTGTTAAGTTCCCCAAATGTCATACATCTGCTGTTGGAAAAAAGAGGACCCTTCCTACAGTAAAGAGTATGCCAGCTCATGAAGTTGTAAGAAAAAATTCTCAGTATAGCTTCTTACGTTAAAGAGGTTGCTGAATATTTTTGAGTTTCTGGTTTGCCTGCAGTTACCCCGGACCCCTTTGCAAGAAGCAGATTGTACTTGAAACTATAGTAGCCACACTATGCCTTCCACAATTCCTCGCAGTCATGTGTGCACCATTCTTCTTTGCTGAGGGAGGGGAAAGAGGAACTTTTAAACTAAAATTTTAACTTTTTCTAAGCTTTCCCACCAGGGTATTCATGATGGGAGAGGTTCTATGCAGTTACTTCTACCATACCCTGACCCCAGACCTGGAGCACATCCAAATAGGAGTCTTCTGCCTCCCGACTAGAAAGAACATAGGAATTTTGTTCTTGGATTCCTGACAATGCTACAGAGTGAACACACTGGAATTCAGACACTGACTCCGAGCTGCTGCAGAACCTCATTCATCTGTGTGCAAATGCTGTATTCCGGGGCCTGTGAATGAGAGCCTGAAGAGCTTTTGCATGCAGGCTGTGTTTTGAAGCAGAACTAGAGACTGGAAAATACAGAAGCAAAGAACTGCATCCATCCTTGACCTAGTGTTGTGGTTCTTCCCTGCACCTTGCACTGAACTCACAGAGGAGAAGGAAGAGGAAACTCGCTTTGGCTTCTCCCATCTCAAAAGTGTTGTGACACCTCAACCTTTTAGCGTTTTGCTTTTTTTTTTTTTTAATGTCCTATTGTAAGTGTTTGGTTTACACTGTACAAGTAACACTAGTAGCTGTTCTGGATTACATAGGTGCTCTTCGCCATCTCATCTCCTACACACCAGGGTGAGCGTACAGAGTGTCCTCCTCCTGCTTTGTGTTAATATCTACAGATGTTAATCGATTTTGGAAAAGGATCATGGTTTCTGCTCTACTTTATAATCAAGACAAGTGTTTAGTAAAATAATGTTTTGGAATGTTGGCTGTAATGTGACAGCAATTTTCATAATAAAAGACATTCATGTTTATGAGGTTGTTTATGATTACAAAAGAAATGACACAGGGCAAACTAAAAATTTAAAAGACGTCCAAGTTTAGTTTTTGGGGGGAGGGGAGTTGCCTGCATTGTAATCTGTGCCTCTTTGTACGGCCTCAGAGATCCCACTGGGGTTTTAGACATCTCTCTCTTTAAAATAAACATAAACTTACAGCACCTTTGCTGACAAAGAACAAATTAACTTTCTGACCCTAATAAACTGAGGTCAAGGGACTTAAAAGAAATGGTACTATTATTTCTTTGAATCAAAGACATATTTTGATAGTTACAGGTTAAATTTTTTCTCCTCCTAAACAGATTCAAGGAAGGGAAAATGGAGGATTTAAAATTTTGGCTAGAAATGGTAGGCATTAGTTAATTGTATACCAGTTGTAATGTCTTCTCAAGGAGCGTTTACCAGAATGTGCCTGCCCATTATTGGAAAGGGACCGACTCTTAAAGATTAGTTTATGTTGGGGCTTCCCTGGTGGCGCAGTGGTTGAGAGTCCGCCTGCCGATGCAGGGGACACGGGTTCGTGCCCCGGTCCGGGAAGATCCCACATGCCGCAGAGCGGCTGGGCCCGTGAGCCATGGCCACTGAGCCTGTGCATCTGGAGCCCTGTGCTCCGCAACGGGAGAGGCCACAACAGTGAGAGGCCCACGTACAGCAAAAATAATAATAATAAAAAAGAAGATTCGTTTATGTTAAACACTTTACATTTCCATTAGGAATTGTTCTGATTTTGGAATAAACACACAAGTTCCACTTTTGGCTTCTAAAGGCAAATTTACTGAATGTCTTTGATCCCTTTAGAGGAAGAGACGGGTAATTGTGGAAATTGACAGAGAAAAATGTGAAACCCACTGAAAAGTTCTCAAATGATAGTAAGCTATCTCAATTCTAAGAGAAACATGTTATAATTCATCTTTTTATTGGAGTCTTGAAGCAGCTGTCCCAATACTTGAATCTTCATACTGTATTTATACTTTTCAGAAAGCATATTAAAACTATAAAATTTTAATTCCCTTGGGGGGAAAACCTGTAAGTCACCAGGCCAATGCCTGCAAATAAAAAATACCTAGCACTCATGTCAGCAGCTTACTAGGTCTTACACATGAAAGGTGAATGCCCACAGCCCTGTGGGGGAAGGTATTAACTCCACTGATTTTGCAGACAAGGCGAGGCTGTGATTGGCTCGCTGTCAGAGTTGGGACTCCAGAACTTCCTACTCTAATTGCAGTGCTCTTTCCTACTACAGCTGCCAGAGATGTCATTTCATAGCTGGGTTATGCATTAAAAGTTCATAAAGTAAAAAAGCGAGTTGAAAATGAAAATTTTTAATAAAATTAAGTGCTTTTGATAAAATACACTGTGCTCAAAACAGTCACAAATGTATCACATTCCCAGCTTGTGTTTTCATCTACAACAGAGAACAAAGGAATGCCATATGTCTAATTTAGGATAAAAGGGCTGATAAACCTTTAACAGTTGCCATTTGGTCTTTACCATTTGCCTTGCTGTCGGCTGTACCCTTTGCCTCGTTCTACTTCCAAATGTTCTTCCCACTGACACCTCCCTGCAATATAAAATTTTCAAAAAGGAAGTGGCTCCCATCTGAGATAGAGAATGGGCTATTAGGTTCATAATAGTAACTTGGTAGGGGACCTTCCAGAAGGAGATCTTTTATAAGTCTTATTATTATTGACTGAAGAGTCTTCCCTTGTTTCCTCATCATAATGTGAGAAAATACGGTTAATAGATCAGCTTACTCTCAGGTATCAGGTTTTCATTAGATTAAAATAAAACTTATTTATTGTGGGGTGTCTTATCCTGAAATAGTCAACACAAATATTCATCTTTTTTGCTGTTAACTATGTGCTGGCAATCAGAAAATACTGAAGTGAAGGTTTGAAATGATATAAATTAGACTTTTCAGTGCAAGGAATTCTTAGGAAGATTTGTGACAGGGGAGGTTTAAGAGTAATTTAGTGGTTAGGCTGGATTAGGCTTCTGTGGATTAAATCAAAGAGGATGTGCAGAGATTTTATCTAGAACAGTGAGGTGACTTTGGCACCAAATAGCCAACTGGTATTTTCTGCTAAAGCTTTTCTCTGGATAGGAGCAGCATTGCATGTTTGCAGTCTTGCAGGTAAGAGACCCTGCCAAATGATCCCGAGTTACCAGAAAGATCTATAAATGTCTGGCCTTCTGTCAGTTTTTAAGAGCTAAAAATAAAATTTTGGGTAATATTTGAATGCTTTAGTTTCATCGTATCTCAAATTATATGGAGAATTCTGTGATTTCGAAAGAGCAGGTTTTGCTGTGAGAAACCATTTGTTAAGTATGGAATAATAAGTTGTCATGGAGACTGAGTAAAACTGAGCATTTGTCTTAGTCCTGATCAATAGCATTTTGACCCAGAGGAAGTTATAGCCATTTTTGTACAGGCCATTTCTCAAGTTTTCAAGTGCTTTTTCAGGCTTTGTCTAGTAGAAAGCATTGTTTTGGAAAATGAGCATCATACGGGTAAGGAGTGTGGCATTTAATAGTAATCACTATATTTTTAAGTTTATAGAAATACTGATTTTTTTTTGGAAACCAAAGATGATTGACCATTTTGTCGTACCACTGTCACCTTTTACGTATAATCTATCATAAACATAAAAAATGCTTACAAATTGGAAACACTCTGTGCCTATATACTGCTTTTCAGCAGTCTTCTAGAAATATTGATTTTTAAAGTAACGCTTAGGAGAAATTCCTTAGGTATCAGTAACACTAATGCAGCTTCTAAGTTAATGATAAGAACTGGCCATACTTCCTGTGTTACTTAATCAGTTCGGAATTGCATATGGTTGACTATTATTTAGTCTCAATGAAGAACTCTCTCTCTCAAGACAGCAGAAATAGCTAAGTCTCAACTGACAGTCATGAAAAGGCAGGCATGGAAGGGACACCACAGACTTTTGCCAGGGACTAGCATGTTTCAGGACTAAATACGGAGACAAAAGAGGAAAACTTTTGATTTTACTACTTGTGAAATCTGCTGAATACCCCATTGAGTGTCAAATTCCTTATCTGTAAAATGAAGGTTGCATTTGACTGCCTCCAAGATCTGTCACCCCGATTCCAAGTTTGACGGGGAAGGAGGTTGAAGTCGATATAACCAGGCTGAGGAGGAGAGGAAGGCACAGGCCTCCCGAGTCCAGCTGCTCCTGCCTCAGGACTGATGTCCCAGCTGTCCTTGGGCTCCCTGGGGAGGTGTCAGTCTTTTACTTCTGAGGATTCAGCAGTGAACAGACAAGCAAAGTGTCCGCTCTCCAGACCTGACCCACACGGGAGCCGGACACTGAACAGGTTAATGCGTAAAGGAATCGTGAAGGATAAGCATAAGTACTATGAGGACGATAAATTGCAACAGTTTTCTTTGCCACCTGGAAGGAGGGAAAACCATTTTCTGAGGTTTCCTTCTATGAAATTTTGGCTTAGCTTGGGCCAATGCCAGGGACTGGGCAGCTTAAAAACAACAGAAATTTATTTCTCACAGTTCTGGAGGCTGGAAGTCTGAGATCACAGTACCAGCCTGGTTGGGTTCTGGTGAGGTCCCTCTTCCTGGCTTGAAGATAGCCTCCTTCTGGCTGTGTCCTCATGTGGCAGAGAGATTAAGAGAAGAAGCTCTATGGTGTCTCTTCTTATAAGGGCACGAATGCCATCATGAGGGCCCCACCATCATGACCTCATCTAAACCTAGTTACCTCCCGAAGGTCCCATCTCCAAATACCATCACATTGAGGGGTTAGGGCTTCAACACCTGAATTTGGAGGGAACACAATTCAGCTCATAGCAAATTTGTCACAGGAAGCTGAGGATGACTGTTTTCAGAATTCAGCTAAGTTGTGGAGACGAACATTACTGTTTATGCTTCAGTGGCGGAGAAACTTTTAGCCAAAATGAGCCTTTTAGAGTATACGAATGTGTTATCTGTGTAGCTCTGGGTTGGTAGATTGATTAGAAGTTACTTTAATAATTAGACTTCGTTATAGAAACCACAGCCTATCTGTAAATTTCTCTCACAATTTCATCTCAGGAATGTACAGTCTCTAGTGCCCCCATCTGCTGCATGGGTAGGCCTGATTGGGCACACTGTCATCTGGGCATTAAATATGGAAGAATTGTGGTCCACCTACGATGCGCACATAGCATCATTGTTTAATTCGTACTGCCTCACCAAGAACATGGTTTGTGAGAAGCATTTTAAGAAGTTGCCTGAATATGATGGTTTGGTGTCAGACTCACCTGTTTGCTGTGGCTTTTGTCTGGCAGACACTCCATCTCCCTCTTCAAACCCTACCTTGGAAATGCTCCCCTCCAGGGAGGAAGATGAGTCATACATGCAACTGCTGTGCAAAATGATTCAATAGAGTCTCAGAAACTGGAATGCAGGAAAAAGGCAGGGTGTAAACTGACTCAGTTGGGGCTGGGTGGGGTGGGTGGTGGTGGGCAAGGCAGAAGCTTACGATGTCAAGTTTAGGCAGAATCTGGCAAACTAGAATACTTCAGTGCGATTGGAAAAGAATGTGTATGGGCAGGTTGTCTAAGATTTCATAACAGCTTTCTGTGTTGCTCTTCTCACTGCCATAGAATTTAGAGACAACAGAAGAATCTGTCTTTTTCTAGATGGCCTCCCTGACTCAACCCCACAGTCTGTCTAGATTCTAGAAAGTGGTTTTCAACCATATCAGATTCAAAAAACCATACCCATCTTTAACAACTAATATGAAATGCTCCTTTTTTAAAAAATCCTGATTTATCCTTTATTATTCTCCTGTGGCAAATGCTGTCGGTGCCCTACCCATATCCCTTTTGGTTCATTCTATACCTATACTCTCTATCTGAAAGTACACATGTAGCAGGCTGGAAGGACCAGAAGTAATGCTGTCTGGGGAAAGCCCTCAACCCATGTCTGGCAGTGTTGCTGTATAAAGATCCCCACTCCCTTGTCCCTTGTTCCTCCATGGCATGAAGCTCCATAGGGCCCAGAGCAGTTACTTGCTTGATGTACTTTTTACTGGCTTTTTCCCCTTGCCCTGCCTTAATACCTCACTCCACTACTAGTGTTCTACATCACTTTCCAAGCAAATCACCTCACTACAATCCTTGCTCTGTGTCTGATTCTGGAGGAACCCAGACTAAGACGCACAAAAGTTCAAAAAAAAATCCATATATATAATGCCCTAGTAATAATAAAAAAGAGAAATTAAACAAATGTAGTTGATAAGATATCTAAA